AGATATCTTCACATATTTGGCAGTAGAGATGGAACTTGAGCACATTATACTAAGTGAGATGACTCAGAGAAAGACAAGTACTGTATGATATCACTTATATGGAATCTAGAAAAATCAAAGCTACAAAAAAAAAAAAAGAAAGTAAATGGTGGTTAAAAGGACACGAGATGTGGGGGCTATAAGAATGATGGTAGCTAAGTGTACAAACTCGCGATGAGTAGTAAATAAGCATAGAGACCTAATGCACCGAATAATGAATATAGATAATAATACTGTACTGTAACTATATGATATGATAAATATGGCTTCAACAGCAATCATATTACAATATATCAAATATATACAATACATCATTATGGAGACATTGTACACCATAAATTTACAAAATGCAACATGTCATATTTACTTTGGGGTGGGGGGGAAAGAAAAAAAAAAAACAGAGGGGGGGGGGGTAATGTAAAGATCCCTTTGTCCTTAAAACTAGCTGAAAGCATTAACTTTGTTAGTCATCATGACCGGCTCTGAAACAAAGCACCAGACAGCTTATGCAACCAGGCACAGAGAGAGAAATGTAAGGCAATTGAAATATTTTGTGCATAAAAGGAAATGTTCTTCTTTTTAAAAAAGTAAACAGACAATACTCTCTTAACAGTGTACTGGAAGGTAAAAATAGTAATGTTGGTACTGGGCAGAGCAACAGAATGGATTTATTTTCTGCCCAAACTCTTCAGGGTTGCTAAGTTATCCTCCCAATGTAAAAGCCTACTAGGAAAGACAAGTTCCAGTGACAGAACGTGCTTGTATGCCATGTGAACGGACAGGAAAAAGGAAAGATTCTGCACATTAGAAACACTACTGCATGAACTCTACTTGAGACCGGGTGTAGACAGTGAAAATGAGATGGGAAAGCAGAAGAAGGATAATGTAATTGGAAACAACATCAAGTATGAAATTAAGAATGAGTCCAGTAAAGTTTCCCATTAATGGCTATCTTATATTTCAAAGGCTCTATCATGTTGTTGTTGATCAGCTCTGAGCCTAATTTGCTGAGTCATAAATTATTATTAAGACCAACTTTTACCTTTATATATTCCTTCCATCAATTTCCTAACGAAAATAGGAAACTAAAAAAATAGAAAATTGAATTTGCTTCCTTATTCTTTTGGAACTAAATTTTTAAAGACTAAAAATCCAAAGCAAATTAAATATGTAATTGCATAAAATTCATGGCTGAATTTGGTTTTATGTATGTCAAATTTTGTAAAGATAAAACTTTGTGATGTGAACCCAGACGAGTCTCGAATAACTTAAATGAAGACCACATCTGCTACAGAATGCACACATCTTAATGTATGATCAGTTACCAAATTAAAACTAAATCATCAGTTCTTACTTATTATAGCATCTCAGTGTTTTGAATTAAAAGTGTCCTTATGAACATTTCATCCCGAGTCCCCTGATAGTGATCATTCATCCTCTTAAACATTCTGGTGACAGGGAACTCACTCCCCACCCAGCAGCCTGCCTCACTATGGGCATCTCTAATCCTGACACATACTTCTTTTTTTTTTTTTTTTTAAGTTTATTTATTTATTTTGAGAGAGAGAGAGAGAGAGAGCACAAGAGAGCATGAGAAAGGGAGACATAGAGAGACAGGGAGAGAGAGAATCCCCAGCAGGTTCCAACACCATCAGTGCAAAGCCCAACGCAAGACTCGATCCCATGATCCATGAGATGATGACCTGAAACCAAGAGTCAGACACTTAACTGGCTGAGCCACCCGGATGCCCCCGGCACATACTTCTAACGGTGAGCTGACCTGGGCCTCCTTGGAACTCCACTCCATGGTTGTGGCTCCACTTTTCTGAAGTCCAGAGAATAAACTCAGTTGTTTTCACATTTTTGGTGCCATTCCATTTTCATGCTTGTATCCCAAACTTGTTGACCCAACCTCCAACTCCCCCCACTTCTCTCCATCAACACCACCACTATTTCAGTCAGATCCACCATCATCTCTCGGGAGATAGCTAGATCCGCTTCCCTTCCCTCCCCCAATCCTTCCTGTCTATTCCCCACGGAGCAGCCAGCATGATCTTTGCTATAGAAGAAATTTTCACTATATGCCAGCCTATAAATGACCTTAAATTTTCTCCTCAGTACTTGAGATAAAAATTCAAAGTCCTCAACGTGGCCTAGTTGATCTGGCCCCCGTCAGCCTCCCCAGGCCCTCAGCATTCTTTGGCTATTCTCTTCCTTACTTGACATGCTACATCTCCAATTTCTTTTAGTTCCTCAACTAATAAGCTCTATGGTCTATGAAATGTTTTCTCTACTCTGTTTACTATTTGAGAATTAGTGGTTGTTTAGGTCTCAGATTACATGTTCTTTCTAAATAGAAACTTCCCCCAAGTCGCTAGACTAGGCCAAGTCCTTCTGGACTCTCTCATTGCTTCCTTTACCATTCTTCATCAAATTTATCAGAACTTATTTTAGATACTTAATCCCATAAATAGTAACACTAATATTATTAATAACAATACCTAATTTTACTGACGGTTCACTTGATGCTGGCACTGTGCGAAAAGCACTAGAAGCGTTATCCTATTTAGGCTTTGGAACCAGCCCATGAGTAGTTACTATTGCTACCTGTACATCACAGATGAGAAAAGGGGTTGAATGGAAGAGTAGGGATTAAAATCCAGCTAATTCCAGGGGCATCTGGGTGGCTCAGTTGGGTAAGCAGCCAACTTCGGCTCAGGTCATGATCTCACAGTTCGTGAGTTCGAGCCCCGCGTCAGGCTCTGTGCTAACAGCTCGGACCCTGGAGCCTGCTTCAGATTCTGTGTCTCCCTCACTCTCTGCCCTTCCCCTGCTCCGTCTCTCTTTCTCTCTCAAAAATAAATAAACATTAAAAGATAGATCGATCGATCGATCAATCAATAAAATCCAGCTGATTCCAGAATCTATTGATGTTCTTAAACTTTACATGTAATATTGGTATCTGACTCCTCCACTAACCTGTTAGCCCCAAGACACATGGATACCAGCAGCCAGGGAGCCTGTCAGAAGCAAATTATGGTCCCGTTTGCCCAGTGCCACAAACTCAGAATAATGTCTCTGTACATTTTCTCTGCACCACCCCTCCCCTGGTCTTTATGGCACTCAAATACCTATGAAAAGGAGAAATTAAATGACTAAATCTGGTATTCTTGTCTTCACATCTCCGGAGACTTCTTGAATTTTTAAGGCACTTTCCAGAAAACAAATAGCAGATAATAGGATCAAATTGTGGAGACGAGCAATTTAAATACATTTGTCTGGATTCATTAGCAACAGGGCATGATCTAATATATGCAGAATTCAGATTATTCCGAAAGGGGTTTCAGCTCATTTCCCATAATATTAACAATGATAATTGCCAATATTGCTTAAGATTTACCATTTGCCAAGCTCTATGCTAAGTGATTTTCATAGTTACTTTGTATAATTATCACACCAGCCTGATGAGTTTGGTATTATTACAGCCCCCATTTTAACTGGATGAGGGAACAGAGATGCAGAAAGATGGTCCAATGTTTGTTCAGAGTCTACAGTTAGTGAAACTCAGCCCCAGCTGGGCCTGGGCCCCTTAACTGTAGGACAGCACTGTGCTGAACAAGGAAAGTTTCAATATGTAATCCTACAAACTGTGAGAGTACCTATTAATGTGAACGACAGGCTCAGAGGAGAAAGTGAAGGGAATACATCTCTTACATTCCATCAGAGGTGGTGCTAGGTGCTGGGGCAGGTACAGAACCAAGTTTAAAGGCAACTGGGCAGGAGAATGGACAGATATTCTATCTTGGGGGAGTCTGGGATTTCTATAATAATAATGAGGATTTGACTGAGCTTGATGGGGCAGATAAGTAGTCTTGAGCCAACTTAGGAGCATACATTCATATATAAATAACAGCCAGAAAACAAGTCATTTATTCATAGAACCAGTATTTGTTAAGGGTCTGTCTTGTACCAGGCACTGCTCTGGGCTCTAAAGAGCTATGAATGAGACTGGAGAAGACCCTGCTCCTGGAGAGTTTTCCTTCTGGTGGGGACAAGACAGACAATAAGGAAACAAGTCTGCATGGACCTGTCTAACATGTCAAGGGATGGGTGCCATGTGCTTTGTAAAGCAGGCAAGAGGGCCAGAAAGCAGAGAGGCTGTGGGGAGATCAGGCAGGCTCCCTGATGATGGCAAATAACATCAGAGACATGAATGAAATGGGGCCTATGCCATGCACTTACCAGAGGGAAGAGAAGTCCAGGAAAAGGCAAGAGGGAGGACAAAGGTCCAGAGGCAGTCGCATGCCAGGACTCACAGGGAGCTCCCTGTGGCTGCAGGGAGGGAGGGAGCACCAAGGGAGCAGAGGGAAAGTGGGACGGAAGGGTGACAGGTCAGCGGGGACAAGCCCTGTGAGGTCAGAACTTTGTGAATGCAACGGGAAATGACTTTCATTAAAATCCTACTATACTGCCGGACGGAGCGCTTCTTTCTGACTTTCTTTGAGGAATTATTATACAACATAACATTACCAATTTAAAAATAGAAATGAAAATGTGCTTGCAATTTTATCATTTTGCATGGCCTTTGCCAGTTTCCTATGTCCTTGTCTAGCCTTTTCTCACATCTGTGCATATATTTACAGTTTTTCTCAGAGTTACAAACAGCTTTACATCCTGTTTGCTTTACTTAGCTTCTTACCGTATTTGTTTTACGGCCTGATACAAAGCCCTCTGAATAATCATTCTGATGCCTGCATAATATTGCAAGTGCAGACACTACCTCCTCTTGGACACTTTAGTGGCTTCCAAATGGTCACCATTACTGATGATACACAAATATTTTTCTGGGTTTGGATTATGTGGCAGCCCTTCTTCTTCATGAATATGGACACAGTAAATTCGGAGAGATGCGAGGTCTTTCTTGACGATCCCTATCGGTTCAGAGCTGTGAGGATAATTACCTGCTGATGGTATCTGTCACTTTCTCAGAGTAGGTGCCTTCTGGCACTGGTTCATATACCGCCTGCACTATCTGCAAAACAGACAGACTAGTGTGATGGACATAAAGAGGCCACGAGTATCTACACTACTTGGCCACAACATGAAAGCTGCTCAATAAGCATTATGACCATGCACACATTTTAATCAGAAACAAAAACATCCCAACAAATAAAAAATTAACATCAAGTAAACAGTTCTCGAGCACAGATTGTATTCTTCAAGCTGAGTTAAAGTTAGCCTCAGATTCATAATAAATGATGTGTAGGATAATATAATATGCCAATTGTAGGCAATCCAAACCACAATTAAAAATAAAAGACCAAAAGTAATTTGATAGATTTATTTGTATAATTTTCTATGATAAATGAAGACAATTATAGGGGGAAATGTGCCATAGCACATGATGTATATTTAGAAGAAAGGGGGGAAATAATGAACTAGATCACGTGGTTAATAAAACAATGTGCCTGCTTTTAATTGACATTTTCATAAAAACCACAAATGATCTATTTAGGGAGAAAAGAAATGGCATTTTTAGCAACACAAGACCCTTCTGTCTCCCAACACTGCTTACTTTTGTAGCCAGGGAGAGCATGTTGGTGCTGTAGAAGGGAGGATTCAGAGTTGCCATCTGATAAAGGATGCAGCCTGCCGCCCAGACATCAGCCTTCTCCCCATACGGCTCGCTCTTCAGTACCTCAGGGCTGAATTAAAATAAGGTTGTTAATAGATACTGTAAAAGGCAGAAGAAATCAGCACAGAAAGAAGTCCAATTTTCAAGCAATAGTTGGAGATATGAGGGGAAAAAATGGAAACTCTTTATCACTAATTCAAATAAATATATTGAAAACTATCTTTGAATTCTCCCAGACTCAGATGAATCAAGAAGCACCATCAAGCAATTCCATTTTAAGCACTAAATATCAATGAACCATATAAATATTGCCTATTAAGTGCCTAAGGAAGTTATTTCCAGAAACAATCACCTCTCTGTGGTAGAAGGAATTGTTGGCTCTGGATCTTTCCTATTCTGAAGATTTTGCACATCTCACCCTTACGACGGTCTCTTGGGAAGTGGTCATTACCCACCTCTGCCTTTGGTTTTGTTTTGTGTTGGTGTGGCCAGTGGAATACGGAAATGACAGTGAACCAGACCAGAGCCTTTGTCTTAGCAAATATTGAGTGCTTTCATTTGTCCTTTGAGGAGCTTCTGTCCATTACCAAGAGAAGAACATATCCCAGTGGCTGTTGTCCCACCAGCCTGGGTCCAGCATAAAATACATGGAGGAGATCTGCCCCAGACACTGCATAAACCTACAGCCTGAAGGAAGGAGAGCTTGCCCAGAAGACCCAGACCTAGGAGTCTAACAATAAATGCTTATTGTTTTTTTAAATTTTTTTAATGTTTATTTATTTTTGAGAGAGAGAGACACACACAGACAGAGCGCAAGTGGGAAGGGGCATAGAGAGAGGGAGACACAGAATCCAAAGCAGACTCCAGGCTCTGAGCTGTCAGCACAGAGCCCCAATGTGGGGCTCGAACCCACAAACTGTGAGATCATGACTTGAGCTGAAGTCAGATGCTCAACCAACTGAGCCACTCAGGCGCCCCAATAAATGCTTATTGTTGAATGCCACTGAAATATTTGTGATTTGTCATACAGCATTAGTATGGGATAACTGACTGATACAGCCCCTCCCATTGCTCTTCAACTCTAGCCTATAAAGTAGGAGGAAGACCATATTTAAATATGTTGCAGAAAATGACAACATCCAACCTGTTCATCTCTTCTGAAATCACATTTCCAATCTGGACATGGATGCTGTCAGCCTTTAAATGAATTTAAGGTGTGAGAGTTTATGGTTTTGACATTTTTTTAAGTGGAGGGGAGTGCAATTCTCCTGGATATTTTGGAGTAATAGAAGTCTCCTCTATCATATTTGTAGAGTGAAACTCAGGAAAGGGTTTAAAGCACTTAATACCCACACATCCTAAATTAAGTACTTCAGCAATTCACTTCTGTATGTATTTAGGACTATGCTCAGCCCTCTACATAAACAGAGATTAAGGGTTAGATTTGATGGTGGAATAAGGTATAAAGAAACTGATAAATTGATATTAGAACAACCAGAGTAGACATAAATCAATGTTGACTATTAAGAATATCCAAGGAGGGGCGCATGGGTGGCTCGGTCAGTTAAACGTCTGACTTCAGCTCAGGTCATGATCTCGCGGTCCGTGAGTTCAAGCCCTGCGTCGGGCCCTGTACTGACAGCTCAGAGCCTGGAGCCTGTTTCAGATTCTGTGTCTCCCTCTCTCTCTGACCGTCACTCATTCATGCTCTGTCTCTCTCTGTCTCAAAAATAATAAATAAACGTTAAAAAAAAAAAAAAAGAATATCCAAGGAGTTGCTATTTTTGCGAGATTATTGAAGAAGAATTCCTAGTTTTAGATTTATGTTATGTGCTTGCAGAGGAAGGTATGATTTCTAGGTCTCTCAGTTGGGCATTTTCATATTTGGTGTCTTTGAGCTCAATAGCATGGAAGTGGGGGAAATGGGAATGAAATTTTTAGGACTCTGCTGGTTCTAACTGTATAATAAGTGTCTCCTGTTGTCACCTGTCAACTGTTCACATTTAAAAGAAAATGCCTTAACAAGAAATAATGTCCTCCAGAGAAAAAAAAAATGTCCTTGGCCTCCCACAGAAAAATTTCTCATGTTTTAATCTACTGAGAAGTCAGAGGACTTGTTTCCTATTTCCAAACGCTCATGAAGCAGATGCTACGAGTGTTCCGCCCATTTCCCCTTAGACCCCTTTTCCATTTCCTGTTCCCGCTATGCGTTCACTCTCAACAGCCAGCATCTGTACTTCTTTGGAAAATAGCCTTCATTTGTTCTCACAAAAACAATCACTCAACCTGGGGGAAAACACTTGTAGGAACAGAATTTACTCAGTTTATTGTTCTCATCATTCCATCTCCTCCTTCTCACCGGAGACCACAAACCCTGCTCATTCCAACAGGCATTCCCCTTTGCACTCTAGCTTTGCAGCTCCCAGCAGGGCGTGGGGTCTATTTCTCTACCCTTTAAAACTGCACTTGATGTGACTTGCTTTGGCCAAGAAGATACAAGCAAAAGTGATATAAGGAGAGGGTTAGAAAATACTCTTTGGGGCTTTCTCTCCCTTCCTGCCCTGGAGAATCCTATGACCACAACCAGGTGACTGAGCCCAGGTTTGCCTGCTGGATGATGGTAACGCGTGGCCCAATTACCTCCACCCACTACCCACAGCCAGCCTACCAACAAACCTGTGCGTGAAGCCACTGGAAACCAGGTGACCACACATACTGAGCCCAGCCAATACTCTAATCAGCAGTCCTCAGTGAGACCAGCCCAATTTGCCCAATGCACCAGTGTATTGATGCTTTTAAAACGTTTATTGCATTAGGCCACCAAGTTTTGAGGCAGTTTGTTGAAGTTAACTGTTATAATAGATCTCATCAGATTCTCAAAGCTGTGCATGAGCCCTTGAATCAATGCTGTGCGTGAGCCCCTGAAAAAAGACCGAGAATTCCTTTTCCGGAAAAGAATTAAGAAAGGGAAATGAAAGACAAGCAATACACCTGCCAACTCTCATATCACTTTGCTGCTGGGATAAACTTCAAATATCCTCTGAGGTAAGAGTTTCCTAATTACAACCAAAAGCAACGACAAATAGAACGCAGAGTCTGATTTTGAGAAGAAGCCACAACAAAATGTTGTTATGGTCTCAATTGTGTCCCCCAAGATTCGTATGTCAAAGTCCCAATCCCACTACCTCGGAATGTGACCATATTTTACAATAAATTCTGTATGAGATGATCAAGTTAAGACGATGCCTCTAGGATGGGCCCTACTCCAGTCTGATTGGTGTCCTTCTCCCCATGAGTGCACACAGACAGAACAACCACCATGTGAAGAGGCAACAAGAGGGTGGACTCCGGGCATCTGCAAGCCAGAGGAGACAGGCCTCAAAGGAAACTAAACTGGCCAACACTTTGATCCTGGACTCTCAGCCTTCAGAACTATGAGAAAAGAAATTTAAGCCGCCCAGTCTGTGGTATTTTGTTATGGCAGACTTAGAAAACTAATGCAGGTTCTATGAAAAAACCTACTTATGTGTTTTTCACCTTCAAAAGAACCCAGCCTTTTGGAAATATGGCTAAAGCCATTGATTCAATCACATCTTACCAATATCATATAAGTTTTTTGGTGATTATTATTTGAAACCCATTGTAAAATAATTTGCTGTCTTGTAATGATTTCCAATTTCTCTGTTTAAGGTGAGCCCAACTACATTTAGAAAAATACAGAGATTTATAGCTAGCAATGCTTCCTTTAAGAGAAAAAAGTTAAATAGTACACACACACAATTTGATTGAAATTTGATTTGATTTGAATGAAAATAGGTTTTCATTTTTCCGAACAAAAAGATTATGCTGCATGTAAAAAATGATCATTCCCAGATGATCCAATCATCTAAAATCTTTTTTTTTTTTTAAACTTTTTTTTTTTCAAAGTTTATTTATTTTTGGGACAGAGAGAGACAGAGCATGAACGGGGGAGGGGCAGAGAGAGAGGGAGACACAGAATTGGAAACAGGCTCCAGGCTCTGAGCCATCAGCCCAGAGCCTGAAGCAGGGCTCGAACTCACGGACCGCGAGATCGTGACCTGGCTGAAGTCGGACGCTTAACCGACTGCGCCACCCAGGCGCCCCATAAAATCTTTTAATGATCAAAGAAAACATAACTTAGACAATATTAAACAAACATAGGGGCTCTTCTGACAAAGATTAAAATATTTACAATTATGTGTGTTAAAATCACAGCCATGGTCAGTTATATGGCAATAAAAATGTATTTACTTTTACCATGTACAATATGGTGACTACAGTTAATCATAATGTACTATATACTTGAAATTTGCTAAAAGAGTAGATCACAAGTATTCTCGTCACACACACAAAGAGGTAACTATGTGAGGTGATGAATATGTTAATTAACCTGATTGTGGTAATTATTTCACAATGTGTAAATATATTGAAACATCACATGGTATACCTTAAATATATACAATTTTTACTTGTTAATACCTCAATAGTGCTGGAAAAAAATTTTAAGTGAAGTCAGGGATAGTAAAGAGTTAGGTGGATGGCAAGGAACAATGTGCATTTATTATAAATATTCTAATAAATAAGTAAACATAACTCATATAGACTGAGTAGCCTTTCAGATGGGGCTGGACACTAACCACTACCTCTGTTTTAATAAGTCATAAATTCACAAATTGATAGTAAAAATGATGTAGACGATAGATGAGGTTGAGAGGATGCTTAATTTTTTAAAAACATAAACTTTTTGTTCAGATTTTAAAATTCCACTACTAGTCCTTCCCTGATATATGAACAATTAAGTTGCTAATTGCCAAGGATTTATTTCTATTTCTATTTTTTAACTTTTTTTAATGTTTTTATTTATTTTTGAGACAGAGAGATACAGAGCATGAGCAGGGGAGGGGCAGACAGAAAGGGAGACACGGAATCCAGGCTCCGAGCTGTCAGCACAGAGCCCGATGCGGGGCTCTAACTCATGGAGTGTGAGATCATGACCTGAGCTGAGGTCAGACGCCCAACCGACTGAGCCACCCAGGTGCCCCGCCAAGG